CTTGGATGTCTTTTCGTGGGGTTTTGGTCTATCAATTGGAAATTTAACAGTGTGTGTCTTGGCTGCAAGTAGAGAACTGAAAAGTGCACACCAGTGAGAAGATGAATTCTTACCCTGCCTTTAGGTCCTCTGGACAAACAACTGTTGTTATTTACCAAAGTTTACAAAATCAACTGTTGCTTGTTTGACAGGATTACTGGTTGTCACTGCTGTACAAACAACTGGTGGGCAGCAGGGTGCTGAACGTCAAGGTCACAGATGAGTCAGAGGTCGAGGCCAGGAACAGCTCAGAACAGCAGAGGACAGCATGGGAGATGGACAGAAAGTCTGCCAGAATACGGGTCTATGCACATTGCACCAACCCCAACAGGTATGTTTTGTACATTGCAATAACATTGGACATATTTTTCACAGCTACCCTGATGGCTTATCGTGTGCCCAATGTCCTTCACACTCACACTGCTGTCCCCTAGTGTTGAATTATATTAACACTGGTAGAACCAAAAATGTCTATAAAATGTTAAACGGACAATAGACATGATTTAGACATTGCTGAACAAAGGGGTTTATGGAAAAAGGAGTGCAGTCCGATTGGCGGAAAAAGCAGTCCAGTCCGATTTTGGGGTGGAAAAAGCAGTCCGGTGGTTTCTACCAAATTTTACGAAAGACCATAGGCACAATTTTCCTTGTGTGTGTACTTCTAGTTTCTATGGGTACTTCGAGTTTCTATGAGTACTTAGAGCTTCTATGGGTACTTAGAGTTTCTATGATTTCTATTATTTAGAGTTTGTATGGGAACTTGAATTAGCATATATGTGACTCACTATATGCCGCCTTAACCCGTAATTCAGGCAGCCTTGGGTGAGGAATAGCGGACAACTGATTTACACCTCTTGGGACCACTGAAAAGTAGTTTCTACACATACAGGTCACCTATCCACAGTAAACAAAAGTTAATTATTAAGGGATTCTTTCTTACAATTGTACTTCCGGTACTTACATGCTTGTCGGTGTAATGCAAAGTCTGCCATACGTGGCTTTAGCAGGGGCCGGCTGGATGTTGGGCAGCTGGCAACCGTAAAGCGATTTAATCAGGCTACTTGCAAGCAGGATCGGCCCTGTAAATCTCGTCAGTTGACCGCTTCATCTTTTGACTAATTATTATTACTTATATGTAAGTAATAATCCGGAGGCATGATGATGATGATGATGATATGTAAGTTACAGACTGTAAGTTCCCATGCAAACTCTAAGTACTCATAGAAACTCTAGGTTCCCATACAAACTCTAAGTACTCATAGAAACTCTAAGTACCCATAGAAACTAGAAGTACTCATAGAAACTCGAAGTACCCATAGAAACTAGAAGTACACACACAAGAAAAAATTGTGCCTATGGTCTTTCGTAAAATTTCGTACAAACCACCGGACTGCTTTTTCCACCCCAAAATCGGACTGGACTGCTTTTTCCGCCAATCGGACTGGACTCCTTTTTCCATAAACCCTGAACAAAGGCCAGTCGGAAGAACATTAAGTAGACATAGTTACTGAGAAACGACATCAAAATAACCCAAGGTGGACATTTTATATCCATAGTCTCTTCACACATTAGGTAGGGACACCCCTAGGAGACAGTCCTTTGTTTAGCACAATGCGCACTTATAAGATATTAGCATCTGTCCGTTAATTAATTGTGGCCTGCTCTGTAAATTGTCTTGGCTTTGTGCAGTGCTTTTCATATGCATGTCAGTTTTCACACTTTTTTTTGCTAAAGACATTCTGACAGACACCTCATGAACAATGGAAAACACAACAAGCAAGTCCTCCCCAAAAGACCCTGTAAAGCCCCTGTTCAGACATTCTTAGAAATGTTTGAAAAATGTCCGGAATTTTCGAGAATGTCCAAAAAGGGTCTATTGTCCGTTTAACATTTTATAGACATTTTCGGCTCTACCAGTGTAACCCTTGTCCTGCTGTGCGCAACATATGTCGCGCGGCACATACAGTACCATCTATATTACACCCTGTATAGGTACGATTTGGGGGTATTTCTTGTGCAATGCATCACACCGCAGCGAAACGCAACGAATGCGGAAGTAACTATGTCACTGCAGGGCAAAAAAAATTGGGGGTCTATGATCTAATTAAGATATGAAATTATTGAAAAATATTGTGCCAGGAATGCCAGCAGGACAAGGGTTAAGAAATACTGTCCCTGGTGCTGAATGGTATTCATACTAACATTGCTGTCCCTGTCCTTGGTGCTGAATAGTCTCCACTCTGTACACAGTGAAGTCCCTGGTGTTGAGTTGGTGTTCACATCACAGTATTGTCCTTGCTGCTGAATGAAAGTCACCCTGATGTAGCATTCACTAATGCTGAATTGTATTTACGCTGACACAACTGTCCCTGGTGCTCCATGTCTTTCACAAAACCACTGCTGTCCCTGTTGCTAAATGGCTTTCACGCTGACATGGCACTGCTACCTCAGAATTTAAATATCAACACTGAAGAATGACATACATGTAGTTGTAAAGTTCAAACTTTGTTCCAACACAAAAAGGGAACAAAGTTTAACCATAAATTTTGAGTCGATTTTGTCAAGCTTCATCAAATGTATGATGCTGAAGAATGACATTGTTTCCCCCTTCAGTCCTCAGCAGTACCAGAACGGGTCTGTGACGCTGTATGTGCTGAACCTGCACCAGGACCACAGAGCCTCCGTCAGGCTGGGAGGGAACCTGGCGTTTAAGAAGGTGGACAAGTATTTAATGACCCCCCACGGAGAGGAGGGGCTGACATCAAGGTGAATTGAAACCGTGAATTTAAAACACAGTGGAAACATCTTTTTTTTACCTGCAGCCATGAAATAAGACTGCCATGAGAGTTTCATGATTTACACTGTAAGACTTGCGACTAACCTTTACTTTAGAGGTTGTTTTGATAGATCACCACACTTTGTTAAGTAAATCATGACTTGTAGTCTAGATGATTGTGCAACTTTTTGAAACTGAAGACATCCTATGTTTTTTTTTTTCTCAGGCATGTGGAGCTGAATGGCAGGAAGCTGGCGATGGTGGATGACCGCACCCTTCCGACACTGGCGCCACAGAAGCTGCCATCTAACACCACATTGCTCATGCCACCTCTCACATTCGGATTCTTCGTCATACCAGATGCACAGGCAGCAGCCTGCATGTAGGCCAAAGGTCATACCTAGCAACTTGCAAGGCCAAAGGTTATGCATGTTGTATCTAGCAACTTGAAAGGCCAAAGGTCATACCTAGCAACTTGCAAGGCCAAAGGTCATACCTAGCAACTTGCAAGGCCAAAGGTTATACGTGTATCTAGCAATTTGCAGGGTCAAAGGTTATACATTATGTCTAGCAACTTGCAAGGCCAAAGGTCATAACATGTTGTACTTAGCAAGGCCGAAGGTTATACATGATGTGTCTAGCAACTTGCAAGGCCAAAGGCCATGTCTATCAGCTTGCAAGGCTAAAGGTCATGTTCTGATATGTGTCAAGGCCAAAGGTCATCAATATTGTCATATTCACGGTCAATACAATTTTGAAAGAGAAAACTTATACAGTAGTATATTTTTGTTTGACATTAAAGTATTTGTAATGGAGAATTTGTTACTGTTGCAATGGAAAACTGCTGCTTCTGAAATCATCAAAGAAAGCTATGCAAGTTGAAGTTGAATGTGGAAGTTGAAGTAGTGATGTTTTTGCTTCTTCAATTCTCAGAAGAATCATGGCCATCAGTTTATAGAATTTCTATGATGATACTACTTTGTTATCATAATTGTCTAATGGAGTTGGAAGTTGCATATTAATTGTTCATTTTCTTTCTCTTTAGGCCTTCTGAAGGGCTGTATAGTGTTTGTATATTTACAGGGATTGTAACTACCCATATGATTGGTTGTATATTTACATGGCTTGTAACAAGCCTTGCGATTGGTAGTGTATTTACAAGAGACATGCCAATTGGCTGTATATATTCAATGACTGTATCAAGCACTGCCATTGGCGAATGAACAAATTTTTGCTGTGTATTTGCAATATTGTCTGTGTGTTGAAGAGGTCATCAGTTGGAGCTGCACTGGCATGTTTGGCCCCTCACTTTAGTAGGATGTGCCATTATTGCAACATTGAAATTTAGAGGGGCCGTTCGATTCCTTATCTGATGACCTTACTGTGACATTCCAATAGCAATAAAAGGGCAAAGAGTATAATCCTGACAGTACTTATTATGACAACATGTAACATAACATAATTGTGTGCCATGACGAAATTCCAAATGTGATCAGTGCAGATTGTTGTAAGATGTACATGTATAGTTACAGCTTACCTAGTATTCCAGATAGTTGTCCATAAGCACTGGTGCAATACACGATTGCAGTACATTTTTGTACATGTATTTGTCTTGTAATCTGTGTTGTTTTCGTGACAACAAAATTCGTCAGAGAAGCAAATATTTACAGGAAGGTAAAATTTACACTAGAACTGACGGCATGCCAGACTAAGAAAAAACTGGAGTCATTAAGGGAGGGGTTCCTCCTTAGGAATGATAACAACGTTGATGACAAATACCGGTAACACAAGGATAATGTGCTTAAATTGTATGGTCTAACATTACCGGTACTCAGTGTTGTGTGTGTATACAGTTCCATGGGATGCAGTGTTACTTGTGGGCATGAAAAGATGTATTTCTAAAACATCCGTACCTTGGAAATTTGAAATATTTTGCTGATGGAAAATACAGATATTATAGCTTCCAAATGTTAGCATGTATAAACACAAGTTTATGTGGAATTATACAACCAAGAAACAGCTTTGAGGGATGTCTGAGTCTTCATAGAACCCTACTATGTGGTACATATAGTTTGTTTGAAAAGTATGCAGGTCCCTGTAGCAAATTATTAGCATCTGGTTGCTTTGAGGACCACCTTATCATATATTTGGTCAATCAGGCATGAAATGATGATTAACATATCACTTTTGCTATTATGTCTCTTTAATTGCCTCGTGTCTACATGACAGTACATGTAGTTTCCATTTTTCAACTGTATTGTATAGCCATAACTCTATCCCAGGACTCCAGACATGTCTGTAATGTGTACATGGGATCCTATTGCATCATTGTCTCTTGAGGCAGATTTTACAAAGCTGAAATATATGTCTTGGAAGGTACAGAGTGATGTAACACTTTCCATTTCTCTTATTTGCAGTAAAGTTAATTCTTGTAACTTAAATTTTGCTTTAATCTGACTTTGTAACTATTCTGACACAATAAAATCTGAATACTTTCTGTGGCACGAGTTTTAAGCTCCAACTGAACATTTCATAATTTAAAGAAAATTTTGGAGAGGATAATATAAGATAAATTATATTAAATACCAGCTATTAGTGCCTGTCTCAAACCTGTGTATTCCCAGAAAGTCTCAATAGTACTAGTTATCAGTTTGTAATCATGTGGCAGAAGTGATATGTAAATTGAATATGAATTGGACACCTCCATTGTACATGTAACGTTACATACATGTATGATGTTACCCCCAAATTGACTTGAATCACATCAAGACCATTATAATAGCCATGATTCAACAGACTCAGACCTTGAAACATTTAAGCTGCTAACAACATCAGTTATGCATAATTTGCAGCAATACCGACTGACATTGGAGTGCAGATCTACATTTGAAGGCTTACAAAGCATTATTTAAGACTGAAGCATTGAAAAATTAGGGGCTGCTAATGACAGAAATAGATATTTTGCCAAACTGAATGAAACTGAAATGCAGTGGTTACATTCGAAGGCTTACATTAGTACAAATAGTGTAGGAGCACAGCTTTATTTTGTAGCTGACATGGATTTGAGATGGAGCTAAGCCCTTCACACTGAAAGTCTGATACAGGTTTAGTCTTAGTGATTACAGAATGCACTTGAGGGTGCACGTGGGTTAATTTTGAGTGGGGATGAAGCTAAGACTGACACAGGTTTATTCAGAATGGAGATAAAGCTAAGGTTCACATTGAAAGGTTAATTTGAGGTTATTCTGAGTGGAGACAAAGCTAAGGTTCACACTGAAAGGCTAATCTGAGGTTATTCTGAGTGAAGATGGAGTGCAGGTTTAAATTTGAAGGCTGGCCAGCGGCACACAGGACAGCAGTGGTTCCCTGCTGACAGCCACATCATGATGCACCTCTCGTGGAAGCTGTGTCCGCAGGGCAGGCCGAGAAGGGAACAGCCCACTTCATACTCCTCTAGGCAGATGGCACAGTCCTCGCAGTGGAGGATCCCCAGGGGGAAACCTGAGGCAGAGGGGGTCTGTTGGGGGTTTCCACAGGTACAAGGTTTGTCCAGGTTGGCGGGCAGAACAGGTGGTGTGTCGTGGCTGGAAGGGTTGTTGGCATGTTTGGATGGAACGTTCATGTTATGATTGCTATACACATGACCTTGACCGGTGGGTGCAGCTTTTGACCTTTCCCCACAGGTGCATTTTGCCAAATCAGAACCAAGGTTGTCCGTATGATCTAAGGGGGTGTCACATGCAGAGGGGGTCTTGTTACATTTGTGAGGTTGCGATGATTGACGCGTCGAAGAAGGGGATCTATGACCTGGGCGGCCGGGGGAGGGGGGCAAATTCATGACACGGTTGGAGGAATCGGAGTGACCAGCGGTTGTTGGCAGCTTCATCACCATAGCGGCTTGATCTGCAGACGACCCCCAGCCGCAACATTTGGAGCAAACTTTTGTCACGAGGGGCGTTTTTCCCTTGTAAAGCCAGACGGGCAGATTTCGTACGTAGTCGGTGGGAATGACGGGGTGCAGCCACAAGTCTGGAACAGCCAGCCGTTCAATCAGGTAGTCCAGCCCGTCCTCCAGTCCGATCAGGTTGGGCGGGCGGGTGTGGTTGAAGGTGCTGATTGGTTGAAACAAGTAGTTCATAAACGAGCTCCACCATCCATTGGTCCCTGCCTGTTCCGTGGGCGTCGTCTCCGTAGTCATTTCCTCCTCGGACTTCCATCTTGACGCCACGATGCCGGCAGCCATGCTGTATAAGAGGAAGGTTCCCACGAGGAATGGTTTGTGCGAGGAGTAGAGTAGCCAGTCTTGCCGCGCCTGGGCCACGAGGGCCGAGCTGCTGATGTTGCGGAGAGCCGTGAGCCCGGCCTGGACCACGCCCTGCATACAGGGCAGCTGGAACAGCCCCACCACGGGCAGACACACCATCAGCAGCACGCAGTTGTACTTCCCCACCGCCCACAGCAGCCTCAGCACCCCCCTCCCCACCTGTCCTCCACACAGGAACACTTCCAGTACCGCCATCAGGTTCACCAGCACCAGGCACAGCAGGAACACGTCATTCACCTCCGGTTGCATAGTCCTTAAGTACGTCTGCATAGACTGCAGGTTCAGCAGCTCTCCCTTCCCTGTCCCGTACCAGTACCTCCTCTCCGGAGTGATGACCAGGATGCCGGGGATCTTTTCTATCCCTGATATGTCCAGGCTGTTGCGGCTTTCGTTCAGCCTCATGTAGCCAAACTTGACCCTGCCAGTGAACTTGACACTCAGGGCGGAGTAGAACATGGGCGGTTGCTTGAGCCGGGAGAAGAAGACAACCTGAACCGGATGCGTCTGGTTCTTCATCAGCCAGTCTGTCTGTAGCTGGTGTGGTGACAGGACAGAGTGGGTCCGGGAGGACAGATGTTGGTTGATCCAGTCTAGAATGGTCTGCTCTTTGCTGGGGGTGTTGAAGACTCGCACAGAGATGTGACCTTTGGCCTGGTGACCGCGAGGGAGGGCAAGGGCCAGGCTGGGTCGATCCCAGCCTTTTCTCCAACACAGTCTGAAAGGAGCGAAATTATTAGTAACACATTATCATAAGAAACAAATTGAATCTGCCATGATTCTAATCTTCGCATGCTACTTAGGATTTAAATCTTATGACACTTGTTAGGTGGCTCAAGTGGCTCAAACCCCATCAAGCCAGAGCAGGTAAAATGCTTACTACAATTTTGTTCCTCACCTCACCGAAGCAGCATCTGTTTGCCTAGAGTCCACAACCAAACTCTCAGTATGAAAAATACTTCAAAAGAAAGGAATCATGCAAGAAATGTTTCATGTATATTTCTGAGACTCACTTTCTGTCCAGCTGGCATTTGAAGGTTCCTGTTCTTATCCCAAACCGTGAGACTTTCCTGACCAGACTTTTCCACTGTCGGGGTCCTAATAAGGGAATGTGGTCTTCAGGTATGACCTGTGGATGTGAAACATCTGGTCAGTTTTCTGATCCACAATTATGGTGCTATCTATGGCACTCAACTATAGCCCGATTCTATAGGCACAGCTACCTCCGTCAAAATGTAGATTTGAAAAATAAAAACATACAATTGCGAATATTTGTATGTACATAACATACAGCCACTCTCATAAGTCTCATTGCAGTGCTATCATTGGTTGAATTTCTAATTGTCATGGAAAGTCAGGATTGGTCTATCATTGCTCTTGTCTTCCCTATACTCCATTACATGGTAGTTTGCAAAATTATGATATTCTTGTTATCTCATATGATATTTTCCGGAAAATTGTAACATTTTAAGTTTGTCGCAAAGAAAGTGATTCTTACCTGTACAAGCCAGACGCTGTCCTTGGTGTCCTCAACCTCCTCATAGAAGTGGGCTCCCCCTGTGAAGTTGGTGCTGGTTGGCTCTGTGTCTTCCTCTTCAGCAGCCAGCAAAACTTCACCTTCTTTTGGCTCACCTGCAGGGAAACGTTGGATACACTTTCTGTAGCAGTCTCCAACCAATGTTTTGTCTCACCAGCTTGCTTTTTTTATTTATTCACACAAAATATATACAGTTAAGTAAATAAATGTATAGAAGGAAAAAAATGTGCAGGAGTAAGGAGGCTGTCTCCTTAATAACCCAAACTCTCCACATAAACAGCCTCTCCCTTGATTAATTCTCCCAGCAATTGTCTCCAAATACTAATTGTGCCTCCTTGTTTCTCCATGTCACATTGGGAATCTCTCACCTGAGTTCTCCACCAGGTCTGTCAGTTCTCTCTTCTCCAACACGCCTTTATAACTGACGCCTCGGGAATCCAGGATCATCTTCAATCTCCGCACACTGATGGACAGTGGATCCAGCACCTGCCAAAATCATCAGGACCAAATTATTTCATGTTTACCATTCAGATTTGAATTGTCAAAACAGCATGTTCAAAGCTATAGCAACAAATAGGAACGTAACAACTAAAACTGGTAATGGTATTCCAGTGCATTCAAACCATGGTATTTGACCAACAAATCTATTTATGATAACAGCTGTAGTAAACAGGATACAACGTATAGCTGCATACACATGTCACTCATCACACATACACTCACTATCCGGTTTATCATCTATGTATGTGAACTAAAGCTTAACATATGGTTTGAAGTTTTAAAATTTCAAATATGAGCAATTGCTGTTTTTTGGTTATATCATGTACATGCAAACTATTTGAAGACATATACAAATTATTGGTAGGCAAATCATCCAACTGTCATCCACTCTTTGCCTGCCACTTGCTGGCGATTACATGTATATCATGGCGACAACTTGTATCCTTTTCACTTGACTTGCAACTGTATTGGGGTCCACATTCAGCATAACGTTACATGTTCAAGACAGTAGCTATGCTTCCAGTGGTCCATTTTAGATACAGATGGTTGCAACACAAGCCGGTCCACTCACCTGTCCAGCCAGGAAACCGGCCTCGAACCAGGTGACTGCCTCCAGCAGCCTGACGGCCACCAGCAGCAGACACAGGTACACCAGCAGCAGCAGCAGCCGCACCAGCATGGCTGCAGCTGTACCACCTCTGATCACACCTACAAACCTGCGGGGGGAGCAAGTTTCAACTGTAATTTCCAACATAAGTAACTGGACTTACATTTTCGACTGTAATGTCCAAGCAGATTTTGTGGGTTAAGGGCAGTCTATATCCACTGGCCACCTCCGATCACACCTACAAACCAAGCAAGCTTAAACTGTAATTTCCAACACAAGAAATTGGACTTACATTTTTGACTGTAATCTCCAAGCAGATTCTGTGGGTATGGGGAGTCCATATATATTGGTTGCCTGTATCCATTGGCCACTGTTGTCAGTTACAGGTGACCAATGGACAAAGGAGGCAAAATACTTATTTGACTCTCCTTGCCCGACAGAATTTGCTTGGAGATTATTTGACTGAACAACTCCAGTCTTTGTCAAGGAATGTTTCTGTGATGTCACGTTATGCCGATGACACATGTGACTCAATGAGCAGTGGATTCATAATATGTTGCAGAAAGTCTTGACAGAGACTAGAGTTGTATACTAGTAGTTGAAAATTTGGGTCGGTCCAATGTCTTGTGCTGGAAAAGTTTAAACTTGCTTCTACCAACACAGATGAACTTTCAAGAAAAAACCTCCAGGTGGGCAGCAACAGATGTAAGGTAAGCCAGCTGATAGGGGTTGTCATGGATACAGCTGTCAGGCCTCCAGCAGCTGTCAATCAAGTGTGACCTGCAGCTGTCAATACGGCCAAATAAATAAGTCCCCTGGGACAGTTACTTACACAATTTCTGCTGACCCTAAGACTTCACGAGTGTTCCGATAAGCAAAGGGAAAGGCAATAAGGGACCATGTAATATTCTTTCTATGTTCCTATGCTACAGAAATGTTGGACGACTGGAAGTCCCAAAAATTATCTTTTCATCTAAATATATGGCTGGTTCCGTATATAATTACTGGCTACCTCCTTGCTTGACTGTATGCCATTTTACTATCCTGAATAAGTAAAGGGACATGCACACATAACGATTTGCTGTTAGTCTGGCTTCAACATTCGTTCGTAGACCTTGACGTCAAATTTAAAGTCTATGACTGCGCTTTAAATTTTGACGTTAATACTTCCTAGCATAGGATTCCAGCAGAAGAAAAAGTTGAAAATCCTTCAATCAAACAGCTTCAAAATGGGGATCTAGAAACGCAAAGCGTGTGACAATGCTATATTTATGATGTCCAAGCAGCATAACAAGTAAAGGAGTCAAACCTATGCGAGGATCTGAAAATAAATCAGGAGAAAACAAACATAGTTACCTCCCACCAGCCAACTCAGCTGTTGACGAAATAGCTAAGATGGCGCGAAAAGGTCATGAACTGTGACGTCATTAAGACAGCATTGTCAGTCGGCACTAGGAACAAAAGGATATGTTTTTCCTGTGTGTGTTCCGGTAAAAGCGTTATAAATATTTCATTATTTAGGCCTTGTGTCTTTGTCGTCAACTTTTCCGTGCTGATTGTTTTCTGCATTTTCGACTTTTTTCTTGTAAATGCCACCCCCGCGATCTTCTATGGTTTAGCCCACAAATTGCAACAAAATTTACCCATAAGCCTTCAGTGTGGACCGTTTTATTAGCCACAAAAGAAAGGGGTGGACAGATTTATCTCAGAAAAACTCAAATACCTATGAACAATAAAGGACAGTTATTTTTTCTATTATGATTTTAATGTTCAACACTCATAATCGTCAATACTTACATATCTTGTATAACGTTGGCTGTATGTTCTATTGATTAAAAATAATCCTTTTGGGAAAATGAACTCGTCTGATAAGAAAGCAATCCAAAATGGACTCCTGCGTAAATGTCGAAAGAGAAGTGGACAAAGTTTTGTCTAAATTTGCGGCTGTGGGTGACCATAGCAGCAGGACCTTACAGGACCTAATAGAGCATATATCCAACATTAGGAAGGAATTATCAGAAGGTGAGTTTTTGCCGACTTTTGTGGTAAAAAGTTGTTTTGAACTGACAGGAAGAGGGAGGGGGATGACAGAACAAAGAAAATCGTTGAGAATCCAAGAAACAGGTGTTGAGTTGTTTTCTGTTCGGGTCATTTTCGGAAATGCAGCTGGTCGCATTTTAGACAACTTTGTAATCCTTACCTCTGTGGTTCGTTTATCGGGTTCCTAACGTTGTGTGTGTGTGGCGTACGGTTATGTTTTCATCGTCCTTGGTGTTGTTTTTGTTGTTGTTTTGTCGGTTGGTAATCATAATAAAAATGTCATGATTCATGAAATGTGTGAAACATCACAGCTAGAAAAAGTAGGGAGTTTTAACTTGTTGTCTCGTACTCGTACTAGTCGTAGGGGTGAAATTCTAAATTTATTTTCTGTTCATATAAAAATCAAATATGCAAAACAGTCAAATTATTATTATGATGTACTTTGCTGTTGAAACATGAATGCTATACTAGTACTTTCATTTTCATAATCAAACAAATGTACATTCTTATTTACCCTGGTTAGTTGTTGTCAGGCCCTGATGCTTATGTTATCCTTAGGTCTTAAAATATGTTGGTTCCTGCTGATATAAGCAATTGCTGTTTTTGTTTACATTAAATAGTGCAAGGCTAGGCATATGCAAATTATTGGGAGGAGTATGCACATTATCTAACAGTTACCTCCTGATTTTTGGGTTGGCAGGCTGGTAGGTACTCATTTTCACATGAGTTGAGTAAGAACTTAGGTGTAAACTGCCTTTTCCAAGGGCATGACATAATTTCAACCCCTTGGATTCTAAGTCAACTGTGAGCCCTAACCACAACACCACCTTGCAGGTAATGATGCCTCAGATGTGACAGCCACCCAGTCCCTGGTGCTGAACCAGTGTCTGAAGAAAGTGAAGGACACTTGTCAGCGCCTGTCCAACGACCACAAGGACCTGCACAGCTCCGTCTCCAAAGTGGGCAAAGCCATAGACAGGGTGAGGACTGTGTTTAGTTACCATGTAGGTTTTAAATACCTAGAGAGACAATTGACTCTGAAATGAACCAAGTGTAAATCGCACCAAGATATTACATCTAGCAATATATTATTCATTAAACAATGACGACAACAACAACAACAAGGCCTGACAAACAAAATGGTATTGCTTTTATCTTGTAACTGTAAGATTATCCTGCAATATGCACAAGCAACTTCTAGTTTCTCGAAAGGGAATCACTTAAAAATGGTGAAAGGGGGATGCCATTGTTCTTATGCGATTGTGGAGCATAGTCATGAGCTATTTTCTTCCTCCCATGTATGTTAAATTGTTTTAGATTCATTTTTGCTTCCTTCTACCACAGAACTTTATCCAGGACATCAGCGCCTGTTCGGTAGAAGGCGCGTTTGTTGGTGAGGAGAAACGGTCCCTGTTGAACGAGGTGATCTGTGAGCACTTCTTCCGTCAGGGCATGCTGGACATCGGCGAGCAGCTCATCCAGGTAAAACCGATTCTCTGCCAAAATGTGTATGGTTGTGGTTCTGTCTTGACTGTTAGCACCATGTTTTGTTCTCAATGCCATAATAAATCGGCCATAAAGTCAGTGTCACAGTGTCTGTCATGTATGACTTTTGGTCAAATTTGTGAAAGTAGCTTATTTTTGCCTGAAAATCTACTGTTACCTTGGTTGGGACTCTTTGACCTGTGTGCCTTGGTCAATCCCTAGTAATTGCATGGTGATGGAGAGACTACAGGTTGTATTCTGGCCAAAAATGTGCTTATGAGCTTGCAGACACGTTGGGTGAACTATTTTCTTGCTGTGTGGTGCTGGCTTTACCATTGTTGTATTTTAGCTTATACCAACGTACTGTACATTTTGGGTTTACTTGCAGGATGCCAGGCTGCAGATTGATGAGGCCCAGAAGGAGCCGTTTTTTGAGCTGAACAGGATTCTGGAGGCCCTGAAGCAACACAACCTCTTCCCTGCCTTAGAGTAAGCATTTGTATCCTACATGCGTACCTTCTTCATGTGTGTAATGGTTTAATGTAGTCATGGTTGTTTGCCAAAGTAGATGTTAGAAGAACCTGAACTAGACAGCAGTTTGCACATTGAGAATCATTACAATAGGCTGACAGCTGCTTTATTTTTTCATCAGGTGGGCAAAGCGGAATCGAGAACGGCTGCAGCAGCAGAGCAGCGCATTGGAGTTCAAACTGCACAGGCTGCACTTCATTGAGCTGCTGAAAGGGGGCCCCGCTAGACAGATGGAGGCACTACTCTACTCCAGGAATTTTGAGCCCTTTGCATATCACCATGCAAAAGGTTTGTTAAGGTTCTTTGTTGGGGCTCTTAAGTTTTGTTGAGAATACATGATATGGAGCCGACTGTTGTGTAAAAATAGAAATTTTTACCTCCGGGGAAGGAGACATCCTTCCGCGAGGAGGTTTTACTATTGTACGAAACATTTCTGTCAGCAGCTGTTTCTCGCGATCGGCTGGACGGATTGGTCTGTTGTTCGGTGTACGTATTGCTATTGGGCTGCAGATGATGCAGAACGTTTTTGTTTAATTGTATATGTGTTTATGGGCGTCGAAATAAAAGGTTTTTAAGTGCTCCGGACACCCCCGCCATGCTGAAAATGGAATTTACCATGTTGTTAAGGAATGGGGAGGTTTCAGTTTTGGGTCTTACCATTTAAAAGGGGTCAAACAGAGGGGTGTCTGCTTCCGATATGTATTTTGAAATATTATCGCAGTTGTATCTCGCGTTGGGGTAGACTGGACTCGGTGTATGTTCTTCTAATGGGCTGTAGATGGTGCAGGTTTTTTTGTTTTTATTGTATATGTGTTTTGGGGCGTAAAAATCTGAAAATGGTCGCGCGCGGCGCTGGGCTGGCTGCCAGCGCAACTTCCGGGTGGGCCAATGGGTCAGGGGTCAACGCCCTCTTGCGCAATCTTGGATGTTTTCGGCGTATAGTACGACTTCTTAACTTACAAATACCGTGGTATACTGTCTCAGACGTTCTCGACATGCATTTTTACCGTGGGTACATGGTATGGGCTGCAGATGAAAATGTTGACCAGTCCTGTATTAACACAACCAGGAACGCTAAATCTAACACATAAAATTCAACACCATCAACTATACAGAACAAACAACATGGAAAAATATACAATAAAAAGCCCGGAGGTATAAAATCTCAGATTTTACTTGTTATCTTTCATGTTAAAAAAACAACATAGATGATAATAACTGTAATTGATTTTATTGATAACTAACCATTTACATCCACTGTAAGGGAGAGACATTTCAAGGCTTGTCTGTACTGTTGCCTGCATTCATGAAATGCAAGTTTTGTTTTGATGGGGCCTGCATTATGATGCCAGTCCAGGGCTCCACTGTAAAGCAGTGTTTAATCACTGAGCTGGCTACCCTGGCTAAAGAAAACAAAAATAGATAAATAAATAAAAAGCTGTTATAATGTTGTTGTTATTGTTTGTGCTTATGTTTCCACTTCTCTTCCCCCAGAGATCCAGACGTTGATGGGCAGCCTGCTGTATGTCCAGCAGGGTGTTCACAACTCTCCGTATCTGCACCTGCTGGACCCCATCCACTGGCTGGACATCTGCGACGTTTTCACCCGCGACGCCTGCCAGCTGCTCGGCCTGTCTGTGGAGAGTCCACTCAGTGTGGCGTAAGTTCCTGTTAAATGTACACATGCTGTTTGTGTGTTGTAAGTCTTGCTCTCTAGTGCGATGGGGTATTGTGTTAGAATAACTTCTCCATAAAATTAACCATTTGGATCCCTCTTAGTCTTATTAGTATACTATATGGCCTTTCTATACAGAATGTATGTAGTCTAGTGCAAGCCTATCTCCATATCTATATGTAGTGTTTAGTCTTACAGTAACATTTCAGTGTAAATGTACTCTTTTAATTATTGTAGTCTCCTTCTTTGTACAATGAGCTTTTTGAAACACCATTATGGTTCCTATTTTAGCATAGGTCCTCCACCCTTTGTGCAATGTACCAATGGACTCTTCTTACTATGGCTCATACAATGGCTTGTACAATGTACTTCATGGACCTATCTTCTCTCATTGTAACTCTAAAAGTTCAACTTGTGTTGTCCCCACCACAGATTTGCAGCAGGCTGTATCTCCCTCCCATCTCTCCTGAATATTAACCACGTCATGAAGCAGAGACAGTGCACCAACGTGTGGAACCAGAAGGACGAGCTGCCTGTAAGTACAGCACAAACAAAAAAAAACAAACAAACAGTCATGTATGGAGGTCACATTATTGACGACCTACGTATATAATACTAGTAATGTGTTCAAAAAATAATAGTAATGAAATACAAACTCTCATGGCTGTTTGGTGCTGGAAATGGTAAATATACAACTTGAAGACAATCAAGAAAAAAAATTGATATCCCTGACTAGATTTAGTCACAATGTCAGGTATGATATAAAAATTTCCTTTGATAGTTACATACTAAATGTAAATGCCATTGTTTTTGTTTTTTTTTTGCTTCCCAAGAAGCCAAGATTGTCTTAAAAAGTTAAAGCCACGAAATGGAAAATTCTGAATATGGATCATGCAATGACACTTTGTCACACTTATTTCTGTGGAGTAACAACAGTTAGTCATTGTTCTACACACCTCTGCCCTACAGATTGAGATTGACCTTGGCGGGGAGACGCGGTATCACTCCATCTTTGCCTGCCCCATCCTCCGACAACAGACCACCGAGACAAACCCTCCTGTACGATTGGTCTGTGGTCACGTGATCTCCAGAGATGCTCTCAATAAGCTGAACACGAACAACAAGTAGGTGGTTCAACTCATCATAGCTTTTCAAGGCTCGAAATATGCATATGCAGATTAGTATCTGGAGCTGTGCAGGTATTTTTGATGACTACCTACACCTAACCTGCACTGGGTTGATACACAAAAGTTAAGATGAAAAAAATAGCAATGGTGTCTGAACAATTTTAGTATCATCCATACTTCCAAACCTCTGATTGGTCCAGGTAAAATTTGTCTGGTGCAACTAATTTTCAATGTTACAGGAAAAAATGTTTTGAGTCCTACTTTTATTGTGGGCTTTGCTGTGGGATTTTGCTGGGATTTGTGTCCATACGGAAATTGTATAAATCATTGCTGAATTCAACATGTTCCCTGTCAGGGTTCTCCCCAGAAAATTTTAGTATGAGGGAGGAAACTTACCAAGCACACACTAAGCGACGCGCAC